TTTTGGGTGAAACTTTAAAATATTTTTTTATATTATATTAAGTTAAAAGGGGTCAGTTACTTTTGACCGCTACTGTATATTATCTTATTGAGAAGATAATTACATTTTGTTAGAAGTAAAATCACGTATATTATCTTATTGAAAAGATAATTATATTTTTATTAAGAAGTAAAACACGTATAAATTATCTTATTGAAAAGATAATCATAATTCATCAGTTATAAATCTTACACATATTACCTTATTCAAGAAATAGTTAGTCATATAACCCTCTTGGACTTATAAAAGTAAACAATTACCATAAACACAGTCACTATTACCATTTTAAAATAATTACATACGTATAATCTTAAAATGGTAACAATATCTACATTCTCTTTTGCCAATTCCAAAATCTGTTTGTCTTATTTTTTAATGATGACTCTTTGATGATCTGATCTTGGTTTGTCACTTAGGTCTTTATTTTTTTGTTATCTTTTTACCTATTCTCAGACTGTTTTTTCATCATAATAAATCTGCTTTACCATCTTACGTATCAAGAACTTGGGACCTTTTGGATGGGTGGCTAAAAAGACAATTTCATATCATTTATGTAAAGGAAGAGACATTTTTTTGACTGAAAAAATTGTTGTATAAGCAGCATGAGTATTTTTGCTATATACTCTGTCCAAAGAAGTTTAATATGATTAGCATATATGATGTACTACATCTATGTAAAATTTTATATACCTACACATGATCTTCCAGAAATTACAGGTGCGGGGAAACTTTTATCAGGTACTGTATTAAATAATATATATTGACAACTCTGATATATATTAATATATATTAAATATTTATTTTGATATGTATCAATAACTCTAATATATATTAATATATAATTAATAATAAAAATTAATACAAATCATCCTAAAAAATTTTCTGATATATATAATATTAAAGATTATCATTTATAAAATGTAATTATATATAAACTGATTTTACTATTAGAATAATAAAGTAAAGATAGGAGAGAATAAAAATAAAAATATAAACAGAATAATCATATTAAAAATACTAATGCTAATATAATAATAAGATAATTTGATTTTAAATAAGCAGATAGAATAAAATATTAATATCAACTCATAATCAATAATAAGAAAAAAATACTTAAAAGTATATTTGCATATAATTTCTTTCTTAAAGATATGCTAATTGAAATTCTATAATAATTTCAAGACTATAATAATAAATAGGATAAGTAACATATTTAAATATATTAGAATAATAATAATTATAATAAGTGAAAAAGAAATTTTGAAATTAATTATACTGAGAACTAATAACTACTTTGAAATTTTTGATAATACATCATAATAATGATAAATAATATAAGATTTTTTATTTCTATCATTACTTTTTATATCTATATAAAAGTAAAATTTTATCTTTATGAAATCAGTTTGTTATATAAAATATCTGATAAATTTTTTTAATTAGTGAATTTAATAAATAGAAATATTATTTTATTTTAGTATATCTTCTTTTTTATTGCTTTAACATTAGTATTAGTGCATTTTAACCTTTTATATTAATATTATTTTATATTGATATCAATCATTTTATATTGATATTACTAAGTTATAAATAAAACTCATATATTATAAACTATTTACATAATAATAATAAGATATATAATATCTAGCAAGCATCTCAAATAGTAATATATTGATCTTTTCATGAGATTTTTAGAAAGTAAAATAATAAAAATAAATAACTTAATAAAATCTTAGCTATTAATAAGCTTGATAAACTATTTTTAATTAACTTTGAATAAAAAATTTGCTTACTTTAAAGAATCTTCAAGAAATAAGATTTATTATATTCATATAAAAAGTTATTTTAAAATAATAAAAGATTTATTTATATGATATAAATTCATTTATAACAAATAAATAAAGATCAAAATTATTTATATATTGAAAGTTAATAATAATTAAAAAGAAAAGAATATTATCATTATAATAAAGAAGATTATATGTTAAGAAATTTTCATATTTAAATTATATTACATTGCAGATTGTGAGAATATTTAGTGATCATTATTAGTAAAAATAATATTATTTATAAAATTTTATTTAATACTTTTATTTATTCTTTTATATTATAAAGATAATAATTTGAATTGATATGATTTGATGTGATGTGATTGATATGTTTGTGTTGTGATGTGATGTGTTGTATTGTAATGTGATGTGTTATATAATGTATACAAAAAAAGATAAATACTATTTTACAAAAAGATGGCTTGGATTAATACTTGTATGTGTATTTCTATACAAAATAATATAGCCCCATGCATAAAATTAAATATCAAAACAAATCTATATATTAATTTATATTCTATTAATTAAATACTAATGATGATAATATTAATGTTATGCATGTACTAAAAAGAAAATGTGTAAAGTGAATATTACTATATAGATGATTAAACAGAAGGCGTTGTTTCATGCGAAAACGAGCCACCAGGAGTTCGAGTACGCCGTAAGTAAGAATCCATCGGAAACGTGCTACTACTCTCTGAGAGAACAGATTCGCCATCATCATACCACGACGCGTCGTAATCTTCGGAGTAAGTGGTAGAACTTAAAGATTGCAGACGTGCAGCAAATTCTTCAGCATTTCGGACCGTCGATGAATTGTCATTGATTGTGTGTATTGAAGAGGCCGAGGATGAACTAGTCCGTATGTAATATGGTTCTACATATGATCTCAGTGAACCTAGTGATGGAGATTCTGAAAGATGCCGATCAAGCATAGTGTCGTATCGTGAATAGTATTCGGGATTTGTTTGGTCCGAAAAATCGTCGCCTAGATCTTGTTGTATTATGCGTGGAATTTGATGAGTTAAGGGTAATGTCATTGAGCGACCTCGTGAATCACCATTTATCCCAATGCTGTTACTGCTACCCACACCAACGTCATTCGTCATGATATCGGTATCTTCATCTATGGGATTAAAATAGTTTTCTAAATCTTCCAATTTTGAAACGATTTCACTGAATTGATGTCGTCGAGTAGGTGTTTCATATCCATTTGTTAAGTCAGCTGTGATTTCGGGGAAAAATTCGTAATCCGGTGTAATACTGACTTTACATGTCATGCAAACTGCTTGCACATTATTTCGTGTCATCGTGGCAACATTTCCAGTATCAGGAACAGCCCATCCAGAATCATCCGGAATACCAAACAAACCTGAAGTCGTCTCAAAATCTTTTTGAACCTTTTTTGCATTTATGCTCATTCGTATTATATGTTTATCCTTTGGTCCACCAGTAATCGAGATTGTCTCATCTAGCACTTCAATGGCTTCTTGTGAATATGTTGTTTGCAAGAGACGAAGAAGAGGAAGAATGAGTTCCGCACCGATATTATTGAGTTCAGTACGTTGTGTATCTACAAATGGAAGCAATATTTTAAGAATTTTCATCGTTTTCCGTTTGTAATATGGAATCTTATTTGATAAGAGACTCATCAGAAAAAGTAAAGTTTGTGCTTCATATTCAGGGAAATAGTACTCCCGGATCACGTTAATTATTTGTTTCAGGAAGTCATCTTCTTTTTGTCGAAAACGATTTTTCGTGTATGAACTGAGAACACGAACGATATTATGACGTTCCTGTTGTTCTGCAATTAGTGATAGATTTTGAGCCCACTCGATGCAATCATCGGGTACCATACTACTGCTCAATACATCAACCATATGAGGAAGATTGGCTAAAATAAGATATAATAGTCTTCCTTCTGATGGATCAACAAATTGATCATTAAGATATATCAATTTCTTGAGCATATTAAAAGTAGGCTGAAGCGAGATAGATGATCGAATTCCTTTTAACAATAATGGTTGAATTCCTTCAAATTGTCCTTTCCATTGAGGTTCCGGGAAAAAGCTCCAAAATAGCTCTTGATTTTCCGGATCTTGCATGTTAAATTTTTTAAGTATTTTTTCGAGTATTCCGAGAGCTTCTAAAAACTCTAGTTCATTAATAGTCTGAAGACATGCTATCGTGGCCCAAAGCATTTGTGGAAATATTTCTTTAGTGCCTGGTTCAAGCCAGTCAACCACGTCGCTAAGAGTAATTAATATTTCTAAAGCAGACCCTTGTGTTTCTTCGGTGGTATCGGCAATTGTAGTGCTAAGACGATATAGCATGTCATGTAACATAGCAATATTAAATACCGGTTTAAGTGATCGAAATATTTGGAATGAACGACAAACAATATGACGTACAGGACATGTTGTTGCCCATTTTAAGGCTGTTTCGCCCCACCATTGTTGTAGAGTTTCTTGATCCCGTTCACCGAAAACTTTAATTACATCTTTTGCTAGTTTATCGAGTTCTATAAAACTACTTAAAGACCTATGATTATAATTTATATCTTCATATTGCCAAAGTTGCGGACCTTCTTTAGCTTTCAACTCTGCAACTAAAGACGATCCTAAATTTACTATATCTGGATAAACAGATCTGCCAATGATAATTGAGTATATGAGATTGACTAACAGTGAGCGTGTTTCTTCACTAATTAGGGGATTCACAGAATCCAATTGCACGAAAAGTACATGTAATAATAATGGCAAATATATTTGAAGATCAGACCCAGCTTCAATTGCCATATCAACCATATACAGCAGTGCTAATTGTCCCGCAGAGAAAACTGGCCTTTTATTATGAGCGGGCAATACTTCATCGAAACTCGCATACCATAAACCAAGTGTACCTTTTTTTGTTGTGTCTTCTTTTTCACGTGGTTGCGGTGTCATTGATTTTGGTGTTATTTTCGAGATCAATTTTTCAATAACAGCTGCACATGCTGGTGTCCGTCCAAGAAATACGAAAACTCTTTTAGCATGAGTTACGAAATTTGGATTTCTCTTTTCTAGACCAACATCAATTAAAAATTTCACGATAGCTTGAACATTTGGCACATGCTCTCCTGTAACTAATTGTTGCCAAATCAATTCTACTTCTTTTACGTAAATATCACCATATTTTACCGTAATAAAGAACAAATTGGAGATGATCATGTTGGTTGTTGGTGGCAATTCGTCTTCTTCGTTCACGAATAATTCAATGTTACGTAACCATGGTAAAAAGTAATTGAGCATATCTCTTTGACTTCTTTCTCCAACTTGCTCAAATCTAAATGTGAATTCGGAAAGCATGTAATGCGATTCATCGTAATTTTTTACTTCTTCAATGCGGGTTGGATCGGAAGAAACTGTTGTCATTACTTCTAATTTATTTTTTCCTTCCTCTCGTTTTCTTCTCATTTCGTCACGCTTTCGAGCATTCTGAGCAAGCTTGGTAGACAAAGCGATCTGCGCTTGCTTATAAATTGAAGATAGCTCGCAGGTTATTCCTACTTCATATTCAGCTGCGCAACACTCGTCAAAGATTCTTTTTTCGATCATTTTCAATAGTTTTATTGCAATTTTGCGGATTTCCAAATCGGGATCTCCTACTTTGAAGAGGGCCAGTGCAATAATCTTATATGGAGGTTTTAATGGATAATTGCGTACTTTGAATAGAGTTTGTGCAATTGCTAAAAAGTATCCTTGAGTAAGTTTATCTGATGGATTTCCGCTATATGTTTGATGAATGGAGTTATCTAATAAATGCGTAGCATTCGTGTTGGAAATAAGTAATCCTTCTATTGCTTTCCTATTAGTTATCAAAACGGGATTATTTTAATATCATTTGGTTTATAACATAAATATTTCAAAATGTGGAATCAAACCTCGCTATAGGATGTAATTTATCTTGAGGATCCGCAAATACAGATTCAATCCATTTGAAAAGTGATTGGACGTCAAAAGAAGAAGGTTTGTTATTGGAGTCATTCACAAAGAGTGGTCCCCTCTATATAAAGTTCAAATTCAGTTAATACAAATCATTGCATAAACAATTAAATACTAATAATAACTTACACATAACGATGCCATTGCGTTTAATGCGGCTAGTTCTAATGCTTTTCTTTCAGTTTCCAATTGTGCATGCAATGGGCGTCGTTCATCTGGATCTTTAGGATAAGATTCTAACAAACTAGAGATCATTTTCCCTTCGCGATCACGATTCAGCTGTCCCTTTGGTCCATGTCCACACCATTCTTCGAACATTTTGAATAATGTAATTCGCATGTCAAACGACATTATTTCCATTTCTTCTTTAATATCGTTTAATTGAGAAATGCCATCGTATAGTTTTTCTACAAGACCACAAAAGTATTGTCGAAGTTTTTGCCATTCCCAATCAGGTGGAAACTCGGCTTCGCGCAAGAAAATCATCGTGTCTCGAACATAATTCATTATCAATTGACTGATTTTATTTTGGCGTATATTGTCAGGGTTCATTAGGAAATGCGCAGTAAGTTGAAGTACATGAGCAATTTCGGTACGGAGACGATCGTATCTTTTGAGTCTTCTGTGAATCGAGGCGTATGGCTTTGTTATGCTCTTTGTTCGATAATCCTCATTTACCTGTTGCATATACATTTGTAAATCGTCCAAAAGCACTTTATATACTACTTCATTGATGTTTCCAAGTGCGGCTACTACAGCTTCTCTAATTATTGTATGCTCAGAATACAGAAAATGTAATATTCTTCGAAACAAAGCTCGAGCAGAAGTTATTCGATCAGTATGTGAAGAATCATGACGTTTTCGATCGGTCGTCCAAATTTTACGATCCTCATAATCATCGGTAAGAGTGATTGTAGAGCAAGCGACAATCAAGTATGAACGCCATTGACCGATAATCTCGTCGTTAGGCGATAAAGGTCTTGAATGTAATTTCGTCATAGATAAAGTTCCCGTGGGAGTTCGAGTGGCATATTCGGCTGCACTCACAATTGCATTTTGCATTTGAAGGATTCGAAGACAAACATTATTTCGACATAATGCAACTGTCACTGGAAAATATTCAAAACATATTTTCATAAATTCTGGGAACAAATGAGACCAGATAACAGCATCTGCGCTATGATCACTTTCTAACAAGCGCAATAGAATATCCTTTTTTCCTTGTTGTAATAATTTTTGCAGTCGAATCTGTTCCACTATCGATAACGCCGTCTGCGATGCACCCGCCGACAATTTATCGAATTTTATAAGATCGCCACCACCACGTTTCAATACATGAATAACTCGCGTATAGGGTTTTTTATCGTCATTATTTGTTGCAGAAAAAAGCAAGTTTGAATTCGATCCGAGCTGTGAATCTAAATTTAAAGGAGATGTTAAACCACCTTCGTACCCCACGAGCGTAATATCATCATTGCTACGTGAGAGTCCCAATGTTTTCTGTCTGGTATTTGAATCATCTCTGACGCATGCTCGTCGTATAAATTCTGATTCAAGTTCAGCGACATGATTTAAGATATTAACAGCGTATTTTCTAATTATACATGATTGACTACACAAAAATAATAGCCCATTAGCTTCTGCTTCTTCAATAATTGTCCATATACTTGTGTCTTCAATTTCTAAGTTTATATTATCGTTGGGTATTTCACCTGTCACAGGTGATTCTATACTAGAGTCATTATTAACCATGGCCGTTCCTATTTCTCCATGGGGAGGATTTTCATGTAGTTGTGCCAGCCATACACGTAATAATTCAATATACAATTTTAACGCGCCGCCAAATTTTGTGCCTATTCCAGGGCCAGTTCCAGCTAAAATTTCCGCGTATTTATCTTCAATCCTATAAACAAATCTCGAAAATCCCATAATTACAATTTCTGCACCACATTGTGCTGCAATTCGTCCCAGTGCTGTAGCGGCAACTTTTGCAAGATCAGGATCAAGATGAACAGTATAACGACACAACATATCAACAATACGTGATTTTGGAACATTCGGAGGTAATATTCGCGGAAGTGCGCGTACATAAGTTTTCAGTAAATCTAAATACGGTTGCCGTTCTTTTGGATAGGTAACACATAACGTTGCGTACTGATGAAACACGGTAGACTCCCCGTATGAGCTAACAACCCCCTGGCCAGCGGTGCTCGGAATCGAACTACTTCGCGTAGCCAAATGCCGTTCATCCAACACAAGCATATTACCATATGTGTTATCAACAACCCACGCAATTTTATATGCGATGTCACAAAATTTTTCGAATGTTTCTTTTAGACCCGGACGAGTAAAGAAACTCTCTGGAAGAATATCTGAGGTGCTTCCCAGTCCGGATAATAATGATTTAAGATCTGCAAACTCGATACTAGTCGGAAAAGGTGGTCTCGCTTTTGTGTTTTGCATTGCTGTTAGCAACAAACAAAACGAACGGATACCTATGGTCATACGTTCTGCGGATATATTTTCGATTGTGACCGACTTGTAATGGTTGACAATCATCTCCGAATTAAGTAAATTGAATATAAGATTTTTTAGACAGTATTCAAAGTGCTGTGGTTTGAACCCTATATAGTACACATAGAGTACAAATAATTCGACACACACATCTGGTGGATTGATTGAGAGCTTATTTGGGGGAAACAGAATTCGACTTATTGTGTCAAGCTTTTTTTGTGTATTTCCAGTGGTTTCGGTGCATCTATATAGAAACGTCCACACTAATCGTACAACACAGCCTAATGCCATATGACGGCGATCTCTTTCCTAAACAGAAATATATTTTGTAAGTGATTCGCTCTCAAATATTCGCGTTGGAATGAATTGTAATGTTTTCTTATATATAAAATCAAAGAACCTTGAATCTTGCGATACAAGCTTCAACACATGGCCACCATTTCTGAGCAAAAAATTCTCGTTGACTAACACATAGCAAGGTAGTTGCAAAGGTATATGCTACCTATAAACAAAGTTAAATAATTTGAGAATCGATAAATAGAAAAAAATTTAATGTCGTTATTTAAACATGACTTACATCCCAATGCCGAAGCTTTTCTGTCATCTTCGACGCTTTAGGATATAACATTTCTACTGCTTTCACCCACACAGGAAAATTAACTTCTGCTACTGCCACCTATTTTTAAAATTAAAAAAGTATGTTAAAAGTAAAATATTGATACTAATGCTCATGATCATTATTATAGCGTACCCCAGCAATAGGTGCCAATAACTGCACAAATAATTCCGCATACGCATGCTTAATCTTAGTACCAGTAGCATTTTTCAAAAATCCAGCCAAACTATTCAAGAATTCCGCAGTTTCTTCTAATGCTCCTTCAGGATAAATCTTACAAAAAGATTTATTGATGAATTCAAGAAATTGAAAATTTGAAAATTTTCCATAATACCAATGAAATAAATAATTACCTTCAACTTTAAATATCGCATTCCCTTTATAAGCATTGTAATCTTCGCCTCGTGTTCTTTAATCAAATTCGGTGGATATTTTGCATATTTTTCTAGTTCGGCTATGAATCGATCTGACACTGTCGGAAATCGAATATTTGATAGTGAGCCGATCAACTCAGCATATAGATTGAAACTTGCTTCGCGATTACGATATCGTTGTATCAATTCCCTTTACGAAAAAGGTATTATCAAATTTTAATTTATATGAACGACGATTCAACAAAGCCTTAAAAGCAAGTATTTATTGCTCAAAAAATGCGTGACATTATTTTGAGAAAAAATACATACGGATCTGATCCTTTTATCAATTGATCAAATATTAATTTTTCTAGTTCGGCGCCATGGTCTTCTCCTAGTGCATCAGGCTGCAATTGCTTTGTTATTTCGAGAAGAGCACGGCATAAGATATACATAGTAACTTGCTTTTGAAGAATATGCATTCAAATATGAAGAGGAAATATTAATATTTATAAAATTTAACGGATTGGCAATAATATAATCTTATATTTCAACATACCGCTTTACGTTCAGTCAAAATTCCTTGAGTATCTTTAACACGCTCCACCAAAGCACCATCATTACTCCTAAAATAATAAATAACTGTAAATAACTCCTGATATTCTTTCCTCAACACAAGATTTCAAACTCACTAGACTTACGATGTACGTTTGTGAGTCGGTGCATCTGGGGCATCTGATGATTTTTCTGTTTTCTCTTTACGCCACATCATCACCGTGTCTATCAGTGACCGTGGTCGATGCCTCACGATGTATCCCATTGAATTCAACAGTTTGTCAAAAGAAAGGTCGGCGCCAGGTCCAACGATTTTCATAAAATCAGGTTCACGGTCCTTGTTTTTTATTAAATGAATCAATTAATTATTATATTAAGTTAATGACTAGAGGAAAGGTAAAAGTTGCTTTTTTTTGGAAAATGAAAAATTATCTAGAATTTAACATTCACATCTAATTGAACAGAAAAGTCAGTAAAAATAAAGACTCGACCACCAAACAAAAGCATTTTCTACGTTGCAATCTCTATCTCTCTCCCAATAAACGTACACATTCGGTCCGTGCATAAAACATGTACTTTTACATGCTAATTAACTACTTACCACGTTCCAACTCATGATATTATTCAGTTTTCTATCCGCCGTCTTATGAAACTGCCTATAGAGTATCAACATAGCATAATCAGCCGGTGTTTTAGGATCTGAAGCCATGGCGGGCCTTTATTTAAGTACATGAATCTTTGAAAAAGAAAAATTAACAATCACTACAATCACAACTCTGCTTCTCAAAAGCAGACGGAACTACAAGTCTCAAACAAAACAAATCATGTGACTCCTCGTACATTATTGGATCTTGGATCGCACGTATTTGTACGGTTCGGACATCAACGTTGATGATACCGAATCCGGTGAGCTTGCCGAGGATCTATTATCAATCGTTACTATCTTTA